CAGCTCCAAGCCACCTGGCAGAGCTAACTTTAACCTGAATTACTCCTGAAATCCAGCTTCCCCAGAGGCAGCGATGCCAGACGGGAGGTAAGATCATTCCCAAGCAGCTGCTATCACTGGGAAGAGGATCAAAGTCTTGGTTGTAGCCCAGCTACGCCCCCAAAATATTGTATGAACTGAGAGATGCTGCTATCAGGGACCCATCAGGATTAGTCACTGCCCATGTTGCCAATTCCTGTGATTTTTTTTTTTCCTAGGAGCGTTTCTGGTTGCCTTAAATTCCCAGCTCTGTGAGTCATGTGAATCTGCCTGAGTATGAATTTTTGGTTTTTAAAGTAAGTTTCTAGACCTTGTGGCTGTGCAGAAAAGCAAGGTGATGTAACCAGAGTGAAATCCAACAGCCCCAGGAGAAGGCAAATGAGAAGAAACTCAATTTTTTTTTTTTTTTTTTTTTTTTTTTTTTTTTTTGAGTCACACAAACTTTTTAGTCAGTTTGGTCATTTCTGGGCCTGGCTCATGCTGCTGGAATGCTCACAGCTTGGAGGTCCACAGTTTTTCCCTTTTTTCCTTTCACTTTCTGATTTCCAGGAGCACTTTCTTCTCCCAGGACCTCCATGCCAGAACTTAAAATGGAGGTGGAAGCAAAACCATGTCCCTAAAATGAGGTGCTGCCTCCAGAGCAGGCATTGCTACCAGCCTCATGCATAAGATCCAACCTGGACAAGAGAAAAGTCCAGAATTTACAGGGCAGAACACCTTTAAATTCCCACCACCAGCACATGAGTGTGCACACAATCCTCACCCACACTGGGAACTCCCTGCATGGAGACGTGTGTGCACACAAATACCTCATACATGAACACGTGTGGTTTATGGGATATTTCTGTGTACATAATTCTGTGTGTTACACCTGTAACTCGTGCTTACACACACACACAAGGGTTTCACCTGGTTGTAAGTGTGAACCACAGCCAGCAGGTGTGTGAAGGGAACCAGCAGTGTGTGTGTGTGAACGTCCATGTGCATTAAATGCACATTTTTGGCCATTTAATGGGGCACACCCAGCCAAGTGCCTGTGTTAAAACTTGCCATGGGATGTGTGTGTGCCCTGTGGAACCACCACCCAACACATCCCAATATAGACAGAACTCTTAGAAGAAGGAATATCCCAAACTGCCACAAAGGAAAACATCCCAAACTGCCGCTCTCAGGACTCCCATCACCTCACAACAGTGAAAAAAGAAATAAATCCCAAATCAGGACACTGACAAAAATGAGCTGCATGAAACACATCAGTGGAGGGGTTCTCCTGCCCTTAACTTTACTTTTTCCCCTCTTTTTTATGCACAAGCTCCAACCCACAGCACGGCTCCTGCGCAGAGGGGCCCTGCCCCTCCCAGCATCTCCCTGAGTTTGCACCGCACATCAGGCAAACCTGGATGCCAAAAAACAAACTGAAAGCAAAAAATTCCCCCTTCCCAAAGTGCCTGGGCAAACTCACAGGGAGAGCTCCGGCAGCACCTTACCGGCTGAGTCAGTGGATGAGCCATCTCCTTGTGCTGGCTGCCCCATCTGCCGAGTTCAGCCGCAGCTGAGATCTTCTGCTGGTAGACCCAGAAAGGGGAGGTGGGGGGGAAAGAAAAAACCTTCCCGTAAGGATCCCAGAGCCAGAGAGAGCAAATCTGCACAGGATGCAGTGTGGGGAGGGTGGAAATGTCGAGCCCCGGTGACAAGGCAGCGGTGCCACCACCCCGCGTTCATTGCCAGCGCTGCGCAGCGCGGTGCGGCTCGGCGGGAGCCTCGCATCCCTTTCTGCATTGTCCCTCTCCAGTGTGAGCTCCGGCAATCTCATTTCATGGGAGACATCTGGTTTGATTCAAAGAGAAGAAAGGGGCGAGGGGGGAACGGCGCGCTCACACGCTCAGCGCCCAGCGCGGCTGCCTGGGAGCTGGGCAGCGATTGTCAATGCTTCCCTCCTTCCCTCGGCGCTGAATCCTCCTCATTTCAATGAGAAAGGCCAGCCCGGGAGCAGGGCTGTCCCACGGCTCCCCCCCAGCATTCCCAGTCTGCAGGAGGGGGCTTGGCTGGGGCGCAGAGCCAAGGGTGGGGAGCTGAGCCCCAGCAGCCTCACCGAGCCTGGAGCCTCTGCAAGGCCTTGGGGGACTGGGGGGGCTCCCCCTTCTTGTTTCCATCATTCCCAGGCCTGGTGGACCTGCAGTGTTGTCCCTCAATGCTTGTGGCTGTGTCAGGGGTCTTCCCATTGCAAGATTGAAGTCCTCATGTTTGTGGGGAGCCCTTTTGGAAGGCCATGTCCTCCTTGACAAGGACAAAGCAGTGAGCTCCTTGTCCATGGGAGGGGGGTCCTGGCCCATTGTGCCACCCTGCTGACCTTGGTGCCCTGTTAGCCTGTCCCCAAAGTGTCCCTGCCGAGCCACCACTCCTCCCAGGGATCCCTGTGGGTCTCTGGATGGATCCCAGTGGTGAAATCCAACCCAATCCTTGTGGGTCTCTGCATGGATCCCAGTGGTGTAACCCAACTAGGGATCCCTGTGGGTCTCTGCATGGATCCCAGTGGTGTAACCCAACCAGGGATCCCTGTGGGTCTCTGCATGGATCCCAGTGGTGTAACCCAACCCAATCCCTGTGGGTCTATGGATGGATCCCAGTGGTGTAACCCAACCCAATCCCTGTGGGTCTATGGATGGATCCCAGTGGTGAAACCCAACCCAATCCCTGTGGGTCTCTGCATGGATCCCAGTGGTGAAACCCAACCCAGTCCCTGTGGGTCTCTGCATGGATCCCAGTGGTGTAACCCAACCAGGGATCCCTGTGGGTCTCTGCATGGATCCCAGAGGTGTAACCCAACCCAATCCCTGTGGGTCTCTGCATGGATCCCAGAGGTGTAACCCAACCCAATCCTTGTGGGTCTCTGCATGGATCCCAGTGGTGTAACCCAACCCAGTCCCTGTGGGTCTCTGCATGGATCCCAGAGGTGTGACCCAACCCAGTCCCTGTGGGTCTCTGGATGGATCCCAGCCCTGGACACCCCTGTAACGCCCCTCAGGAGTGGGCAGCAACAGGTCCCCACACAAACCCTGCTTCACCCATGACCCCTCCACAGTGTGGGGCACATGGTGGGTGTCCACAGAGACCCCTTCCACTCATGGCCCTCCATGCTGGCTGCACCCAGTGGGTCCCCTCACAGACCCCTCATTCCTGGGACCCCTCTCTGCCAGGGTGTGCACAGAGAGCCGCTCATGGAACCCACAGTGGGTCCCCATGCAGCCCCTACAGCTGTGTCCCCGTGGGTCCCCATGTAGCCCCTACACCCACCCAGGGCATGGTGGGTCCCCAAGGAGCCCCCTCCCCGTGTGACACAGGGAATCCATCCCACTGCAGCCCACCCCACCCTTCCACAATGATCCCACCACAGACTTCCACCCATGGCATGGTATATCTGCGTTTTGGGGTGCACATCTGCATTTTGGGGGGCACAACCGCATTTTGGGGGGCACATCTGCGTTTTGGGGTTGTGCTCCTGTGTGTGCACATCTGGCCACGGCTCGGGACACCTGAGCACACCTGGATGTGCATCATCCTCCAGCTGGGTCACGGTGGCTTCCCCGCAGTCCCCTCCATGGCTGGTCCCCTCTCACCTCCCTAACCCGTGTCACAGCAGGGACCCCCCAGTCCCCATCCCCATGCCATGGCATGTCCCCCTGCAGCCCCTCCAGCGGTGACACGGTGGATCCTCCTGCATCCTCCTCCCCTGGTGGCACCGCGCGGTCCCCCTGCAGCCCCTCCACGCGTGACACAGCGTGTGTACCCTCTGCACCATGTGTGTCCCCACAGCAGCCTCCCCTCCGTGTCCCAGTGGTCCCCACACCACCCTCCACCCCTGTCACCGTGGGTGCCTCTCCACTCGTGTCACTGCGGGTCCCCTTGAGCCCCCTCACCGTGTCCTGGCCGGTCCCTCACATCCCCCATCCCACATCCACTCGTGTCACAGCGGGTCCCCGCATCCCCCTCGCAGTGTCACAGCGGGTCCCCTGGAGCCCCCTCACCGTGTCCCGGCCGGTCCCCAATATCCCCTATCCCACATCTACTGGTGTCACAGCGGGTTCCCGCATCCCCCTCGCAGTGTCACAGCGGGTCCCCTGGAGCCCCCTCACCATGTCCCAGCCGGTCCCCCCATTCCACATTCCATATCCACTCATGTCCCCGTGGGTCCCCGCATCCCCCTCGCAGTGTCACAGCGGGTCCCCTGGAGCCCCCTCACCGTGTCCTGGCCGGTCCCCCATATCCCACATCCCACATCCACTCGTGTCCCCGCGGGTCCCCGCATCCCCCTCGCAGTGTCACAGCCTGTCCCCCCCATCCCACATCCACCCGTGTCCCCTCGTGTCCCCGCATCCCCCTCGCAGTGTCACAGCCTGTCCCCCCCATCCCACATCCACCCGTGTCCCCTCGTGTCCCCGCATCCCCCTCGCAGTGTCACAGCCTGTCCCCCCCATCCCGCATCCCACATTCACCCGTGTCCCCGCGGGTCCCCCTCCGCACGCCGCCGGTCCCCGCCGCCCCGGTGGCCGCCGCCGCGGGCGGGGGTGTGCCACCACCGGACTACATCCCCCATGAGCCCGCGGGCCGGGCCGCTCCCGCAGCGCCCAGCCGCCTTCAAACAAAAGAGTTTCCCCCCGCGGGGCCGCGCTCCGCTCCGCGCCCCCCGCACCCCCCGCACCCCCCGGCGGCGGCGGCCGGGGGCGGGGGCGGCGGCGGGGGGACCGCGGTGGAGGCGGCGGGCGCGGGGCTCGGGTTACACGGGAAAGGGGCTTGGCCAGGCGGGGGGCGGGGGGCGGAGGGTCCTTTTCTCTCTCTCGTTCTCTCTCTCTGCCTTTTTTTTTCCCTTCTCCCTCCCGAGCTCTTTGTGTCCCCCCCCTCCCCTCCTCTCGCCCCCCCCCCCCCCCCCCAGCCCCCAGCCCCCTCCCAAGCCTTTGTTAGCCATGCCTAGCCTGGTAGTCCCAGGGATAATGGAAAGGAACGGGGGTTTCGGCGATTTAGGCTGTTTCGGTGGGAGCGGCAAAGACAGAGCGCTGCTTGAGGATGACCGGGCGCTGCAGCTCGCCCTGGACCAGCTCTGCCTGCTGGGGCTAGGCGAGCCTTCCTCCTCCTCCTCCTCCTCGGCCGTGGTGCTGGTGGAGGACAGCAACAACAACAACAATAACCCGCCGCCGCCGCCGCCGCAGCAGCCCCCGCCGCCGCCGCCGCCGCCGCAGCAGCCGCCGCCGCCGCCGCCGCCGCCGCCCCCGGCGGCCCCGAAGGGCTCGGCGGCGCCCAGCGCCGGGGCGGCGGAACCCAAGTTGTGCGCGCTCTACAAGGAGGCCGAGCTGCGGCTCAAGAGCAGCTCCAACACCACCGAGTGCGTCCCGGTGCCCAGCTCCGAGCACGTGGCCGAGATCGTGGGACGGCAAGGTGAGCGCCGGGCCCCCGGTACCCCGCGATGCGCCCCGGTGTGTCGCCGCTCGCCGGCCCCGGGACACTCCCCCCGCGGCCGCGGGGCCCCGCCGCTCCCTCCCGCCCATTGTTCGGGGCCGGGGCCGCTCGGCCCCGCCGGGGACAAAGCCCGGGGCTCCCGGGATGTGGGCGGGCGGCCGCGCTCCCGGCACGGCGGTGCTGGGGAACGGTGGCGTGGGGGCTCTGCGGGAACGCTGCGGGGGCTTGTCCGGCACCGGAGCCCCGCGCGCCGCTCCCCGGTTCTGCCCGAGAGCCGAGCTCGACCGCGCTCTGCTTAAGAAAGAAAAAAACCCTGGGAATAAGGCGGGGGAAGGGCGGGGGGTGCGGGCTGAGCCCGGCCCCGCGCCTCGGAGTCCCCCTTTGTTGGCCGGGCGGAGGGGGTGTGGTGGTGCCGCCGGGCTCGGTGCGAGCGGCCGCTGGAGCGGCTGGGAGCCGGGCTGCCGAGCTGCTCCCGCCGCCCCCCGGCAACGGGGGGGACCCCGGGGCGAGGGGACCCCGGAGCGGGAGCCGCCGTCCCGCGTGGGCCCCCCGCGGCCGCTGCCCGCGCGCCGCCACAGTGATGCTTTTGTTCTCCCGGCTCCGTTCGGAGCGAGGTGGAATGGAGGAGGGCTTTAAAAAAAATTACATATATATATGTATCTAGATAGATATATATATATATATCCCCATACCACACCCACTCTTAAGTCACCCCTCGCCCACCCCCACCACTCCCGGGTGTGCGGTGCGGGGCCCCGCGCCTCCCGTGGGCACTGCGGGAGTCGGGGCACGGCGCTGCCGAGAGAAGTTTTGTGTCGCTACAGAGAAAAAAAAAAAAATAATAATAGTGCGGCTAAGTGTTGGGCTTTTTTTTTTCCTTTCTTTCTTTCTTTCTCTGAACAAGTAACTTGACGCTCTGGAAGTGCGATGGGCAGAGCCTGCGGCTTCATGGGCAGATGCTCCCCTGTGGGTTGGGATGGAAGGGCCCTGAGCAGGGGGTTTGTGGGGGGGACACGGGGGGTGATGACCCCCAGTGCCCCGAGAAGGGCTGAAGTGGGCGAGGGGAAGCCACGGGAGAGGGACACGAATGGCTCCGTGCTGGACATCTCTGACGCTAGGGCGTGCGGCTGGAACAATGGGGCCTGCGGAGGCTCTGCTTGCTCCCAGCCCTGGAGCGAGGTCCGGTTCCACGGGCCGGTCCCGGTTCTCCGGGATGGAGAGCGGGCAGAGTGCGGGGGTGCTGATCTCCCCAAAACTCGGGGTATCTGCAGCAGAGGGAGCAGCTCTTGCTGTGGTGTTCACACCGGGATGGGGGAGATGGGCAGGAAGGGGTGAAGGTCTGGCCCAGGAGACCCCACTGGCCCCGATCCTGGTCCTGGTCCTGGTCCTGGTCCCGATCCCGATCCTCCCTTGGCTCTGCAGGCGCGGTGGGGCTCAGCACCAACTCTGCGCTGCTGTGTGTGTGTGAGGCCATGGAGAATCAGGCCCCCTTTGTTTAATAAAGTTGGGAAAGAGGATTCGGCAGGCGGAACCGAGGGGGAAATGTGCCAGGGCTGTTTTGTTGCAGGATCTCAGCGCTGCCCCAGACTCCTGAGAAGGGGGTGTGTGCTCAGAACGCAGCACGTGCCTCTTGTGTCCAGAGCCATGGAGAGGAACGTGGAGACCTGGATTTTTTCCACCATTTTTTTTGTGTGTGTGTGTGTGTGAGGGTTTTCCCACATCTGGGAGCTGGGGGGATGCAGCTGTGGCTGTGCTCCTTTGGCTGGTGGGGCAGATGGTGCAGCCTGTGCCCCACCACGGAGGTGGGTGGGATGGATCTTGTGCTGGGGGCTCCTTCAGCACGGTCCCTGGAGCTGTGGCTCTTCACTCCAGCACACATCGTGGCCCACACTTGTTTCTGAAGGCCTGCAGGAATGTCTCTGCTGTCTCCCGTGCCTTGTTTTTGTGTAGAAGGCCGGATTAAGAGGGTCTGGAGCTGGGTGTGGGGCTCCCCGGGGGATTGATTCCTGCACTCTCATGGATGCCTGACCAGGAATCCCAGAATGCCAGATTGACATCCCTTGGTGGTACTGCTCCTGCTGCAGATGGTTTTCTAGGAAAACAATTGTGTTTATGGGTACCTTTGAGCAGGGTGACGAACGTCTTGAAAAAGGGAGGGGGAAAAAGTAATAATGAAATAAAAATTATTTCACAGCTTTACTTGGTAACAGGGTTTAGCTTTTTCTGCAACTTATTATTTTCTGAAGAAACACACTATCCCTTCAGATTATTTCATAATGATATCAACCATCTATTAAAGTGTTCCTCACAGGCAGGTGTGGATATGAGAGGCCTGGATCTGGGCACAGGGACCTGGCCACAGGAATTCCACCTGCTATCAGGCCACCCCTCACTTTGCCAAAGCACTGAAAAGGCACTTAAGTGTAAATAATGCTCAAGCCCGATGTATTTTTATTGGAATGCCTGTAAGAGTGGTTTGTGAAGAGGTGTAATCGTGGCAGAGGGGGGTGGTTTCACTCCAAGCAAGGATGCTGCAGGAACTCGACCTGAGCCTGGCAGCTCCTGCTTTCCCCAGGAGCTGTGAACGTGCCCTGGAGGAGCCAATGGCCTGCTGGAATCCTTGCTCCGGTTTGTGCTGGGGCTGCTTTGTGCTCTGAATTTGAGCCACGAGCCGGCTGGGGTGGGGGACTGGCCTGGGGTGAGGTGGTGGTGGGCTGTGGAAAGGGGGATTGGTGGGAACTGGCCAGGCTGGTGCCCCAGGGTCCGTGGCAAAGAGCTGGGTGGCTGGTGGGGTGTGCCAAGGGCTGCTTTGCAACCCGGAGGGCAGGAAACCGGGAAAGGAAGAAGGAGGGGATGAAGTCACAAGAATCCCTTTGACTGGGCATGGTTGGTGGTGACATCCCCTTCACACCTGTCCCTCTGTGGGACATATCAGGGGTGAGTCTGCCTGAGTCAAGGCTCCTGCAGGTCACCCCCCTTCCCCTGGCATGTGTGTGAGCTCCAGCTGTGCTGGGTTTGGGTGACCAAACCTCCTGGTGTGCGCCATGGCACGGCCAGTGCTCCCTGGGGCCTGTGTGGCACATCAGGGAGCTTGGTGGCCCTTGTGTTCCTCCTGCCACCCCTCATTGTGGGTGTCCTGCCTGCAACAGCCTGTCCATGGCTCTGCTGGCTCTCACGGCCATGCCCATGAAATTGTAAGGACAAAGCACTGGAGGGGTTTGCAGCAGGTTTTTCTGGAGATGGTGGGGCATCAAGGGATGTGGGCTGAGATGGGGTGTGGGTGCTGGGAGCAATGCAGAGTGTCTGAAGGGCATCATGTTTTGGTTGTGCAGGCTGAAATTAGGAAGGGGCAGAAATCATCAGGCGCTGCAGCTCTTCCCTAGAAGTGACCCGAGGTGGGTGTGGATTAGCCAGATGAAGATTTGTATCCAACTTTTCTGCCTGCTCCCACAGGCAAGCTGGGCTGCTGTCGCTGCAGCCAGGGGAGAGGCTGAAGGGCACGTTTGAGGCCAGATGTTGTGGGCAGGGAGACATGGTGCTGGTTCTTTGTGTGCCTGGTGTGTGCAGGTGTCGGGAGAAGCCGTGGGGTTGCTTTGGCTTCGTGCTGCGCCCACTCCCAGATAAGACTTTCCCTGTAAGGATTTTTGGACTCTCTTAAGGATTTTTTGGTCCTTCTAAGGGTTCTTGGTCTCATCACAGTAATAGCATCCATTGTCACCTGTACTCACAGACACCCTTTGATGCAGCATCTCCCAGCCTGCTCCAACCAGCCTGTTGTCACCAGGAATGAAGATTATGCGAGAGAGGATCTTAACATAAATTGCTCTTTCTTGGCAAGGTGAAGTCAAATAACAAGAGGCTCCACTAAACCCAAGGTGATTGGGTTCTTTGTGTAGCTCCAAACATGCTCCAATGCTTTCAGCATTTAAAAATAGTCCGAGGAAGCCTTTTCCATTGAGGAAGTCTGATGATGGCAGCTCCCCCACCCACCCTGTGGAGGTGGATGTATGTACAGCATCCGAGGAGCAGCGAGGGGGGCAGATCTTCTTGTCTCCTTGTTTCATGGAAATCTTGGCTCGAAATCCACCCGATCTGCTGGGCTCTGAAGGCTGCTCCAGCAGCTCGGGATGGGCCCGAAAGGGAGGGAAAAGATTTGCCGTCGGTATCGGGTTGTTGCAAAGTGTTAACGAGAATTACTCCGAATTTACACCGGCGGGGGGGAAAAGTGCGGAGCGGCAGCGACTTTGTGCCGTTTGAACCGGAGGTGGGAGGAGAGAACGGCTCTGGGAGGGAGAGGGAGAGGGAGACAAAGGGAATTTTCTGCGAGGGAGCCACGCACGCTCCCCGCGCAGCGCTCGGGCGGCCGGCGCGGCGCTGACCGAGTGAACCGCAGCGCAGCCGCCCGGAATCTAGGGCAGTGGGGAAGCAAGCGGCGCTGGCACTGGGTGGGGGCCCCCGCCTTTGTCTGGCAGCCCCCTCCCTCGCTGCCCGCGTCCCCCCGCGCTCGCCGTGCCCCGCTTCCCCCGCTCCGCCCGGCCCCGGCTCGGCTGGAGCCGTGCGGGACCGAGCCGTGCCACGGGCACACCCACTCCGCGCCGGGGGCTCCGCTTCCCAACTTTGCTCCGGGTTGTCTGTGCCTCTAGGCTCGATGCTGTTTAGCGTTTTTTCCCCTTTTTCTTTGTGGTTTTTTTTTTTTGTTGTTGTTGTTGTTGTTTCATAAACAACTTTCATCACAATGTGAAAAAGCGTAAAAATCGCCGCGCTGGAATGAGGCAGTCGCTGGTTTTCCTGGCATGGTGTGCGTTGGGTGGTGTTTTTTTTTTCCCCGTTCTTGTAAACACAACTTGCATCATCAGGACAATAAACCCTCCGTGCAAAGAGATTTAGTTGGTCGGTCGTGGTCCTTTTGTGTGCATTTGTGGGGTTTTTTTGACACCACTTTCATCGGGTTTTCGATGCAGCAAAACCTTAGCCCACAG